GAGGGGGGTAAAAACACGATTTCACACCATTTCCGGACCATGGAAAAACCAAGACACTTCCCTGTCTTCTTTTGGGGTGAAAACCAGAGTTTTTCAAACCACATCAAACCCTAGACATTTTTCTACCTTTTTGGGGGTTGAAAAACGCAGATTTTTAAACCGTTTTAAACCCTCCAGGAAACTGAGACTTGTTCCGCTTTTTTGGGTGGAAAAAAAAGCAGATTTTTAAACCATGTTGCCAGCTTCTTTGTTTTGGGTTGAAAAACCCACCTTTTCTCTTTTTCCGTTAAAAAATGCTGCATTTTCAAACCCATTTTAAACCTCCAGGGAACCAAGACCTTCTCCTGCTGTTTTTTTGTGTAAAAAAATTACAGGTTTTGAACCCTTTTTGAACCTTTGGAGTAGAATAAGAAATTTGTCACTTTTGGGGGCTGAAAAAGCAGCATTTTAAAAACCATTTCAAGCCTCAGGGGAATCTGGACATTTTTTTCTGTTTTTGGGGGGTTAAAAAAGCCCAGCGTTTTTACACTAGTAGAAACTTGGGAAAACTAAGACATCTGTCTGCCTTTTGGGGGTTAGGAAGCAGGTTCTTCCCAGGTTTATGTTAGGTTAAAGATCTGCTTTTTTAACCCCCCAAAAAGGCAGAAAATGTCTCAAGTTTTCTCAGGTTTAACTAGTTTAAAACTAAGATTTTTTTCCTGCCTTTTGGGGTTAAAAAAAAAAGCAGATTTTTAAAGCATTTCAGACCTCCAGAAAACAGACATTTATTCTGCCTTTTTGGGTTAAAAAGAAAAGCATTTTTCAATCAATTTAAACTGGGGAAAATAGGAGACTTTTTCCCAGCCTTTTTGGGGGTTAAACCCCCCTAAAAATGTGGGGTTACCTCACATTTTGCTGGCTTCTGGGGGGTGAAAAAGCAACATTTTGAAACTTTTGAAATTCCCAAATAATGGATTTTTTGCCTCCCTCCACTTTGAAAAAAGTGGCTTTTTTTAAACCCCGAAGCAGCCGTTTTCCTGCCTTTTGTGGAGTGAAAAAAAATCAGTGTTTTGAAACCACTGCAGATGTCACAATACAGATTTTTTTCCCCCCCCCCCCCCGACACGCATTGAAAAAGTGGCATTTTTAAAACCATGTAAAACTGGAAACAGCCACTTTTATGCTTTTGGGGGGGTGAAAGAGCAGTGTTTTATAATCATTTTGAACCTCAGAAAAAAAAGATTTCTTTTTGCCTTTTCCCCCCATTTTAAAAACCCAGCATTTTAAAAACCATTTTGCACTGGAAACAGCCCTTTTTCTGCCCTTTTTAGGGGTGAAAACCAGCAATTTTAAAAGCCATCTTAAACCTTAGAAAAACCAAAGAAACGTTTTCCCCAGCTTATTTGGGGCTAAAAAAGCAGATTTTTCAACCGTTGTGAACTGGAAACAGCTGTTTTTCTGCCGGGGGGGGGGGGGGGGGGGAAGCCCAGCATTTTTAAAACCATCTGAAACCTCACAGAAACCAAGACATTTTTGCAGCTTTTGGGTTAAAAAAAACCCAGATTTTTAAACTGTTTTGAACTGCCAGGAAACTGAGACTTTCCCCCTGCTTTTTGGGTGAAAAAAGCAGATTTTTAAACCATTTTACGCAAGACATTTTGCTGGGGGGGTTTTGGGTTGAAAAAGCAACTTTTTAAAACTCTCTTGGGGAACAAGTTGCCTTTTTCCACCTTTTCTTCAGGTTAAAAAAGCAGATAATTTTTTTAACCAGAAAATCCAAAAATGGGAGGCCACTGATGGAAAAGCCAAGAAAGTGCTCCGGAAAGGAACCAGTGTTTAACGGAAAAGCCAAAAAAAAAAAAAAACAAACCCCCGACAGATTTTATTGTTTTTGTTTTAAAAAGTCACCGCTTTTTGATTGGCTTCATTGGACCTCGTCGCAGCCCCTTCCCAGCACAAGCCCCTGGTTTGTCCATCCAAATCCCGGGTTTTCCAGCAAAATCCCCAGTTATTTAGCAACCCCCCCTGGTCTTCCAATCCAAATCTCACTTTTCCCCATCAAGATCTCAATTTTTTCTCCATCAAAATCTCCCTGGTCTCCTCATCCAAATCCCTATTTTCCATGAAGATCCCCCTCCATACCCCTGTTCCAGCGTATTGGGGGATAGAAAAAGCCAGGAGACAGGACCCCCCAACTCCGAACCCCCCCATTTCCAACCACTCGTTTGGGGCTTGCTTCTCTCCCCACTAATTGGCGGGGGATGGGGGATTTCTCGAATTGGAGAGGGGCCAGGTATCCCCCCAGGCCCACGGGCGTTAAAAACCTTCCTGCTTCCCATCCCAAAACAGACACGTACAATAATTCAGGGAGACACGAGAGAGCTTGGATTTGGATCAAAACCCCGCAATGGGAATAATTAATTTTATGCCCCCTTCCCCCCCACCTCCCCCCGAATAATTAATCCGCTACAAAAGGTGAAGCCGAATAAAACGGCACTGACATCTCTCGCGCTGGCCAATCAGGGAAAGAAACAACCCAACGTTGGCTGGGTTGAGGTTGACCAACGTTGACTGGACG